GCGTGCGTGCGTGCGTGCGTGCGTGCGTGCGTGCGTGCATGTGTGCGGTTGGGAGGAATAGTCTTTTATGTATAGGATGGGATACAAAAGTTTTACAAAAATAAGTAAACCATATCTGAGTGATGGTTCTTGTCCTTTAACCCCTAGATGTATTTGAAAAATCAGGTTATCCATGCATGTTTGACAATGCTCTTAAGCTTTTTTTCCCTTCTTTCATAGGAGATGATGAAAAGAGCCACTTCAAGCGTACAGTTATGGCTGGAGGGTTTTTTATTCCAGTGATGAAACCACGGATGGGAGGTCCAAGCAGTAGCTCTGACCTCAGCAAGCAGGGAACTGAGTGGGACACAAAGGGTGCTATGAAAGGGGCAGAGGGTGGGGCTGAAGATGGTGGAAAGAATGATGTTCCTCGGCCTACCCAAATGAGACCACTTCCTGAGCAACTAAAGGTGTTCCGGGCCATAGAAGACCCTGAGAATGAGCAGACCTCCCCAAAGATGTGCCGCATGTTCTATACTTCCAATGATGGGGCAGCCAAATCAGGATTCCATGGGACTCTCTTCCCTTTAGAAGCCTCCCCACGGCACCAACGGAAGGCCTTAAACATCTCAGAGCCCTTTGCTGTCTCAGTGCCCCTCCGGGTGTCTGCAGTCATCAGTATTAATAGCACCCCTTGCCGCATGCCTGCTAAAGACAAGTCTACCCTCTCCAGTTTGCAAGAATCTTCTTTCTTGGGGCTGGAGAGTGCAGTTTCTACACCCACTGAAGGGGAAAACCAGGCCAGTTCAGAGCTTGTCACATTCAAGGAAGAAAAGAAGTCTGAGACCAAAGCATCAACAGGTAAGCTTAGAAAAAACGGTCATTTGCTCTGTGGATGGCATGAAGAATTTGCACCCATCGAGTCATTTATGGATGTGACATTGCCACTTAATCATTGAAGCATGACTGGCTTGGTTCGCTGAGATTAAGTGCCAAATGAATTGTTACACAGAAGTGGAAAACAGTTTCAGAAGCGGACAACATGGGGGAGAAAACCAACTGGCAAAGTTGTGAATTTATCTAAATTTGTACTTTGGAATCATTAGGAAGAATGAAGCTCATCCTTCAAAATGCTCATTTCTCTGAATTTTGCAATGGAGTTCTCCAATAAAACAAAATGTATAAAATGTATTTCTTAGGTGAAAGCATAACCAAGAATGTTTCTCTCAGTGCAAAGCTTTAAAATGCATTAGGACAATTCTTGCCAGAATATACTGGACAAAATATATTATGTACAAAAATGCATACCTTTAAAATATATATGTATATCAAACTACTTTGAACTTAAGTTGGCAAAACCTGTCAAGGTTCTAGACAAAACAGGCTTAAAACTGGAAAAATGAAAAACAGAAACCAACAGTGTCAGATGTGTCCATCCTTACCTTTACCTGTCCCCTCCTGATGCTGCTTTTTGTTTTTTCAAAAAAGTCAGTTGTGGCTAATGCCTATAGTTGACATCTAGTCTGGCCCTTCAGCCATGCTGGCATCCTGGTGGGCTGCAGTTCCAGTGAGGCAAGAAGCAAGAGGGAAATTTAAGAGCTAGATTGCATTTAAAATCAGGAAGACCACAGCATTTGCAACCTGCTCCTTGCACCAACACATGTGTGCAAAGGGCCCTGATTTGGTGTTAGAGCACATGCTTTGGATACAAAAGGTCTCTTGTTCAATCTTTGACATTTTTATATGGCTGGGAAGGAACCTAGACAATACTGAGCTTGAAGGACTAATGGTCTGGCTTGGTTTAAGACAGCTTTTTAAGTATTGTGCTGATGGTCATACTAGCCTGTGATAGAGAAACCATTGCATGTAGGCACACACTTTTCGGGCATTGTGCAGATCACAGCTCAGGTGTAATTGATCCATTAATTTTAGAGCAAAAGAAGAACCATGCTGGATCAGACCCAGGGTCCATTCAGTCCAGCTTTCTGTTCAGTCAGTGGTCAACCATCTATGGATAATCCTCCCATGAGAACTGCACCAATCCAGGGTGAGAAGTATGAGGAACTGCTTCCAAATCTGTCCTTTAAAGCCATGATTTATTACAATTTATGAAGCCAGCTTTTTGTGAACATTCTTGGAAATGTGTGGACTTCCTATTTCTTATTGACTGGATCAGCCAAAAAGCACCTAAGAAACAAAAGTTATTTTTGGTAACAACTTCAAACACACTTCCTCTTCTTTTTCTGTGCAGTCTCAACTTGTAGGAAAGCTTTTCTCAATCCACTCAATGTCATGAAAGCATGGAAATTTATTGTTAAGTTTCACTGAAGGATAATCTCATTTCAAACCTGTTGGAATCATGCTTAACTCTGTGCTGGCTTGTGTATTGACACTTCCACTAATCTCCTTTGCCTTTAGTCCTGCTCACCACAGGACTGCAGCTCTTAAGAGTGTCTCCAAAGTTGAATTCAGCCCTCATGTGGAAAGAAGTCCCCCACCCTTGTTTGGATATTGGGCTATTGGAATTCCAGCACTGCACTATTTATTGCCATGTGATAGACAACTCCCCATGACCTGCCCTTTTCACCAACATTGCTTCCTTTTTTTTTAAACCTGCCCTTGTGAGGGTTTAGCAACATGTCTTTTTGCTTCCAATACAGATCCTGCTATTGAGGAACTCACAGTGACCAAGAGCGTGGAGTCTGCAGGTGCCTCTCCACCAACAACAAAACTTCAGGAGACAAAAAGTGGTGGCAGCAGCCAAGCTTCAGAGGAAATGCAAAGCCTGGAAGAGAAGCCACTCATCAAGTTCCCAGCAAGCCAGGAGCAGGCAGACAAAGCAAGCCAGGGCCATCTTGGAGATAATGATAGGCCAAAACAAGGCTGCGAGCAACAGAATGTGGTGAGGGATGAAGTGGAGGATACCTCACATCTAAAGGGACTGGTAAGAAGGCGGCTGCTGAATGCATCCACTCCCACATTTCATTGTCTGAGTGAGGTAGAAGAAAGTCACCATTCTCCAGTGAGCATCCCAAACTTGTTTTCTTCTGCAAGACCACCAAGCAGGCCTTTATGTTCTAATTAATAATTACTATTGAGAAGCATAAGCAGGAAGTTGCTACTGCACTCATGCCCTACTCTAGGGCTTCCCATAGGTGTTTGGTTGGCCACTGTGAGAATGGTACCTAAGACGTAGGTCTAACTCAAGATTTTTTTATTATGCCAATGAGTATGTTTATGGTTCACTGTGCCCTTTCTCACACATCTTTTACACACAGTCCTAGATTTGGTTTCTTTCAGTGAAAAGCTTCCACAAGCCTTGTCTGTAGCTGTAACTTTGCATATCTGATACTGCTCTCCAGATTTCTGAGTGGTCCAGAGCATGCTTTAAACTTTAAAGTCACATGATGCAGCAATCTTATTACAGTTAACTAAGCAAGTCTGGTTTGATCAATGCCTGGAAGAGAAACTGCCTGGGAGTCCCATGAACATTACTTTGAGTTCCATGATGGAAAAGGGGGGAATATTAATGTCATCAGTCCATCAATTGGTATTTAGCAACCTATTTGTGTTAATTATTCCAATTCATTAGTACTTGGTGTTGACTGTTGGGTGGCTAAGGTTGTCCTAGTCTTCCAGTTGACTGGAAATCATAATCTGAAGCTGGGATATTTGACAAATTTTGTGACCATGCCTATAATTGTAAGATAGTTAGAGTATGCACAAGTGGTACTTGCAGCAAAAAGTTGCAGCATTGAGTACTCCTGCTTAGGGTTCCAGCCAGACTTGCCTTCTTCCACTCCACTCCACTCCACTCCACTCCACTCCACTCTCTTTTTTTTTCTGTTTTCTGTTTTCTTCCTTCTAACAAACAGTCAGCATTCTATGTCCATGTAGTTTGCTCAGTTCCCACTGGGCAGTTTGGAGTCTCCCCCTCCCTGAATCTCCCTTCCTAAATATATCTGATACCTCCACAAGTATGTTAATACCTCCTTTTTATGTATAGCTGCTGCCATGTTGGCTACATGGAGATTCACACTTTTAATACTAGCCTATATTAGATGATCTTCTTTTGCTAAGTGCATGGGTTTACCTAAGGGCGACAGGAAGGTGTGTGCTTTGGGCCTAAACCCATTATATTAATTTATGGCATCATGATATTGTCAGTTTTCAGTTTGGCTGCTTAAATTTCTTAGCTTTAACTTTTGAAAATGATTACCATGGGATTTGGTTGCACACTTACTCTTGCCCTTAGTTTTTAACATGTCATTTGAAATAGCACAGCTTAGATGAGTAGTTGAGATTTCTATCTTCAGGGATTGGAAACTTCTATTTATCAGTGTCTACTCAGTGGGTTGTATGATGCACTATGTTTCTAATGGGAAAAGGAGATTCATGGAAGGCCTAAAGGAAATTTGATTTTTAAAAATCTTTCAACTATGTGCATATTTTGCTATTGCCTTATAAATATCCCTAGGAACCCTATTGGCAAATGAACATATATTTTCAAGAAGAGTTTGTATTTATATTTTTGCATATGCATATGTGTAGCTTAATTGACTATTATCCAAAATGTGGTTGGGTGGAAAAAAGCAAAAGCAAGTTGGTCAGGAAGAAGTTGTCTGATAATACTGGTTCTCTTTTCTAGACTCATGAAAATCATCCCAGTGCCCTAATGGAACCACTATGGCCAGAAATTCAGCAAGAGCTGAAAATAGTTGAATCTGAAGAGGAGCTATCATTTGCTGCACCTATTTCAGAAACAGGCAAGAAAGAATTTAAACCTAGCCCTGCATCAGTGTTACTTGCAGAAGCAAACAATGTAGCATGTGATTCTGTTCAGTCTCTGACACCATCCAAAGAAGAAAACATGCTCAGAAACTCACCAGCTGTGCCTCACATTCCTTTGGTTATGACTCCATCCAAAGGATCAAAGGACTCACCTGCTTGTGACTCTGAACCAATCAGAAAGGATGGTGCTGCTTCAGACTTAGTAAACCTGGAAAATATTCCATGTGGGACACCTTGTCCAAAGGACTGTCAAGAAATGGAGAATGCCAAGAGTGATCTAGCACCTCAGTCCCAAGAGAGGAAACTTCCATCAGAACCACAAGATGACACACGTCTTTCAAGAGATGATAAACCATGTCCCAAAGAAAAGCATTTAAACCAACCAGAATGGGAAAATAGCAGTTGGATTCTTCAGAGAAAGAAAGAAGGTGTAGCTGTTACCCAGGCAGAGAAAAGTGATGAAGTGTTTTCTGAAAGAAAGGGCCTGGTCAATTCAAAGACCTCAAGTGGAGTTGGAGCCTATCCTTTCAAGGAAGGTGGAATGAATGATCAATCCCAAGACTCATTTGACCAGCAAGAGGAAGATACGTGGGTGGACCATGTCCAGAGCTTAGAGTTAGTAGAGCCATGGGAAGATCACCAGTGGGTCACCAGCCCCCTCCATTCCCCCACCTTGAAAGACACAAAAGGAAAAGTATTACAGGAGTTTCAGCCCCAGAGCCTAGGAGTGGTGCAAAGCCACTTTAGGAAGCCATGTTTCAGTCGTAGCTTTTCCTTAGACAGTAAAGATTTTGTGAAGAGGCACTGTGCTATCCCATTGCCTTCTGCAAGTGCAGATGAGGAACATCTTTTTGATGCCATCCAAGCAAGCATCAGTGAGCCCTCACAAGCACAGTGGAGAGAAACAGGCAGAGTAGAAGCCTGGCTGAATCTTTTAGAGGAAACTTCTAAACCAGATGGACGAAACAGGAAAGATCTGAACCATGAGGAAGACTTTGTAGCTAGCAAGTTGTCATCAAGTCAGGAAGGACTGTACTCTGTCACTCACAAAGGGTCAGCTGAGAAGGAAGTGAATGAGAACAATGACAACCAAGAAGCCTTGAAACTGGAGTCTTCTTTACCACAATGCAATACAGGAAATAGCGTATTATGTTCAAGCAGCCTAGAGAAAGATATACAAGATGCACCATATGTTCAGCATGCTGACAGCCCTGGAATTGCTGCCTCAAAGGATCTATGTTCTGCCAAAGAATCTCAGGCTAACAAAGATGAAGACATCCCACGGAAAGGGAGAACAAGGCCCTCATCTCTCAATCTGGATTCTGTCCTTCCAGCTGCAAGCCTTTTTAATTTTGAGAGTCTTTCTGTGCCCAATCCACCCAGGCACTTCCTCTGTGGGCAGAAAGAAGTTAAAACTAGTGATTCTGTCCCATCACTTCCTGTTGCTTGCCCAAACAAGAATGAAGCTGACCTTTGGGGTTCTCATTTTGATCCCCAGGACTTAGACCTGGACTATATAATGATGGCTCATGCGGCCACTGGTCGCCGTAATTCTGCTCCAGTGAGTGTCTCAGCAGTGAGAACCTCATTCATGGTTAAGATGTGCCAGGCTAGAGCTGTGCCAGTTATTCCACCCAAGATCCAGTACACTCAGGTCCCCCAGCCCCTGCAGACACAGAACCCCAACTGCAGGATACATTTGGCACATGAGAATAAAGAAGCAGAAGCCAATGTTGGCCAACGCAAGCCAACTCAAAACACTCAGGGCCAGCTGCAAGCCCCAAAGAGTCCACTGGCAGATAGGAAGGGGAAGGAAAACAACAATGCAGCCTTTATGGATTCAACAGCAACTAGAAAGGCAGAGCCATTCTGCTCCAATCATATTCCTACCCAGGATGCACCAGTACTCCGTAGAAAACGCACTTCTGAAGGAGAAACTACTGAAGATAATCCACAGTCCTCAAAAATGGAGAGACCATCAGGGGTTTCCAAGCCTTCTTACAGATCTCGACCAGGAAGACCTCAGAGCCTTATACTATTCAGTCCTCCCTTTCCCATTATGGACCATCCCTCTTCCTCTGCAGACTCCAGATTGTTGCTTTCTCCCATAAGAAGTCCCTCAGAGACTCCCTCTCCAAGCCCCATTTCCAGTGATTTGTCAGGGACATCCTCAGAGGGGGTCACCCTTCGGAACAAGATGACCATTCCAAAGAATGGCCAAAGACTAGAGACTTCCACAAGTTGTTTTTACCAACCCCAGAGGAGGTCTGTTATTCTGGATGGGAGAAGTGGAAGGCAGATAGAATAATTCCCATTCAATCTCTTCACATCTCTTCCCTGGTGGATGAGATTGAAGTAGTCATTTAGAAAACTGTGGTGGTGGTGGTGGTGGTGATAGTGATAATATTGCTAAACACATACTACTCAAATAGTACTTACTTGTCAATTCCACCAATTCCTTACCTGTCACTTCTAACTGGTAGAATGTTCAGTGGATTTGGCTTTGAGTCCATTTTGGAAAAAGGTGTGTCAGTGAGAACAAAGTTTTGTCAAAAAGAAAGCAGCGATCAGTCTCTGTTGCCCTGACCAAAGTTACCCACACTCTCATTCACTCTCATTCTTCCTCTTCCAAGCAACAGTCAAGAATTGCAAGAATAATCTCAGAAACGTATGCCTGGCTACAGTTGCACTTCTTTCCATGTTCCTGCTTGTCATGTCCTTGCCGATCTTGGTTTGTCACATTCCTGGAATCCCTGGCCACAAGACCAGATGGTTTTCTTTTACTTTACCATTTGCTTATGTATGGACTTAGAAAGAGCATTGTCATGAGTTTTATGTGTGTGATGGGCACTCAGATAAGTGGTTTGCAAAGAGTGCTAATGCATTTGATAACAAAACGTTACCGTATTTTTCGCTCTATAAGACGCACATGACCATAAGACGCACCTAGTTTTTAGAGGAGGAAAACAAGAAAAAAAAATATTCTGAATCAAATGGTTTACTAAACTATTTACTAAACTATAACAGAATACAGTAATACAACCTTGTAAAGTGAACAGCAGTCAACAGTGGCATTAAGAACCATCATCACTGTCATTAACAAGAGAGAGACTTTAAAGTTCGAGTACTCTTCTAGTTTTCGTTGAACCCATAGAACTCATCATCACTAGAGTCAGAATTTATGAAGCTCTGTTGCTCACAATCACTGACATCACTTTCTTAGTCAGTAGTGGAATTATTGAAGGAATCCATAATCTACACCAGTTATACAAGAGCTGCTGCAGACAATTCAATAACAAATCTAAAAAAGCCAGTAATGTTCACACTGCCCTACTAGTAAATAATAGAAAAAAAAATTCTGACAAAAAATGAGATATTGTACGGTAAATCAAACACACAGCAGACTAAGTAGCCTTTGAAGAATAAACTTCATACATGTGGGGCCGGCAGCATGCCGGCGGTGGTCTTCCGGGCGGTGTGGCGGTGGCAGGTCTTCCCAGGTGGTGGGGTGAGCAGTTCCCAGGCGGTGGGGGTGAGCAGTCTGTCTCTCCATGCGGCCGGCGGGTTAAAACCCGTGGCTCCTCCTCCTACACACGCCTCCCCCTGAGCGGCACAGCTCTCACCTGCACCGGAGCAGGGAGGCAGAGCAGGGCGTGCCGAGCGCGTGCCGGCCAGGTGGTGTCATGTGGTGCAGGTGGCCGGCAGCGTCCCGGGCATCAGGCACACACACATTCTTTCTATAAGACACACAGACATTTTCCCTTACTTTTGAGGAGGAAAAAAGTGCGTCTTACAGAGCGAAAAATACGGTATTTTGTTGTTGCTGGTAAGCACCTGTTCTTGGCATGGACGTATTCCCATAGCATCTGTTTCTCCAGGATTTTTGATAATTTAGAGCTAACTGCAGGGTTCTTGTATCAATGGATCATAGGGACCTGTGCAAACAGCCATGCACAGGTCCCTATGCATGCACAGGTCCCCTTTGAGGTTGCCTCAAAGACAGGCATGCACAGGTCCCCTTTGAGGTTGCCTCAAAGACAGGCAACTGTAGTGAGGTGGTTAGAAAGGAGTCTGGGGCCTGAACCCATTGCTGATGCTGCTTGCAGTCTCCAAAAAGTTCTCTTGATTTTGCTGATCGCTGCAGAATCAGACCCAAGTCTTGGTAGCTACTGAAAGGAATAATGTACATGACAGTCACAAGAGGCTTCAATCCCAGTGTATTTTTATAGTATGCTGCTCTTTAGTTGAATAAATCAGAGTAGGATATCTCTTTTTCTGTGGTTGCTATTTGTGCAGTATGAGCTTTTTCTTGAAGCTGCCACTTAACCTCCAGCCACAAGGGGCAATAAATTAGCAAAGAAATTCCTGTACAAAATCATGGTTATGAGTCATTAGGGCTAAATTATAGTAGCATGCTACTGAACTTTTGTTACTTTGAAGAAAGTATGTGGATTTGTTATCTGTATTAGTACTATCACATGCAGGCAGGGGAGTTTTAAACCTTCCCATCCAGCCACTTTCCCCTCTAAATTCTTGTTATGGAATGGGGGGCAGGGGGAGAAAGAGAGAGAGAATGTGAGAGAGAACCCTCCATTAGTACTGGAGACTTGAAGGCTTCTGAGAGTCAGGTGAATTAAAATGTTACATTCCATCTTCTCAGAAATCAGAGCCTTGTTCATAATGTTACCACCTAGAACCATTCTTTCCAGAATAGAGTGCGTGAAGGTGGGAGTTGATTACAGGCAGAAAAGTCATGGGGAAGCCACACTGTAGATGAAGCTTGCATGCAAAGAAGAGCTTTTGAACTAGAGAAATTCACACTTGTACCTTGTGTTGAAATTTTGATGTGACATGCAAGTACACTAACAAATACTTTGATACATGTGCGTCTTCCTCGATTTTCTAAGCCTCAATGATAAAGAGCTGTCTTGTAAACCGAAAGGGAGGACTCTGTATGACCATTCAGAATCCATGGGTTGATCCAGGATCAGCTTTCCATGAGAGGTAAGGATCATTTGGTAAAGAAAGGGCTCTGATCCCAGAAGATTGCTCTGTCCAATGTTTGGAATCCCTTTCCTCTCACTCCACAGCTCACGCTATTCAGTAGGCCCCCTGACTTTCAGTACAGCATTTCAAAGAGGCCAGAGGAGCTACTAAGGGAAGAATGAGGTGGGGGCATTCACTGCCATCATCATCACTTCTGCTACCGACACAAATCTGGATCCAATTCCCTGCTTTTACATGGTGACAGAATGTTGGTGGAAGAGTCTGAAATATTATGGTAATAGTGTGATCCATTCCAGAACATTTCTATTTCCATGTTTATGAAGGAAGGAAGACTGATGCTTGCTTAGTTTTATGTTAATAAGGTTGTGCAAAATATTGTTCCGGTTCACAGAAAAACTCAGCTAATACCTTGGCTTTTTAGATCCATCTGTGGAATAACTGAAGTTGAGTTTGCCTACTTTCTGTACATAGAGAAAGGGGATTTGGTAGTGTTTTTGTACATTTGCACTTAGTATGTTGGTCATAAGATCTGGAAAAGTGGACAAAGAAGAGATAGAATTGGCCCTAATACTTTTGCCAGCAGTGCACAGGGAGGGGCATCGTGGGGTTGTTGTCTTCAGTGGAAGTATAGAAGGATCAATGGAGTAATGGAGCAGAGTGTCTGAATGAGAAAGAAGTGGGTTCATGCAGTCATCCAGTCCTTAGTAGCAGTGGGGAGTCACTTGTGCAAAGCCGAGTGGAAAGGAATGGGAAGGGAGGGGCATGCAAGAGTCACCTCATTGAAAGCAGTTGTCTAAACAAAATCTAAGGCTTATTTTTAAACCTAGGATATTGGCATTTTGCCAAACAGAGAATTTTTCTGAAATAGCATTTCAGTATGTTCAGGCTTTAAGTACATTCAGTGTATAACATGCAAATACATCAAAGCCTGAGTAAGTTCCACAGACTGCTGTTAAAAAAAGGAAAAAAAGAAAAAGAAAAATGTTGCAATCCAAAACTCTTATAGCTAGCTTTTCCTCTCTTCAAAGTTCTGAAATAGTTGTATTGACTAATACTACATTAAATGTATATATAAACAGAACATATATAAATATATTAAAGTGTAATTAAAAACTAAGAAATTGTCTCTAAGCAGTATTACATCTATGAATCTTGGAAAGATCTGGTATACAGGATTTATCATTTGCTGTAAATTCCTCTCATACTGTTTCCCCAAATCTTTTACAAAGAGGGCCAACTTTTCAGTGTCACCAATCATGATGTCTCTTTTTCTACCCCTCACAACTCCTTCTCCTGCATTGTCTTTAGTATCAGCTATAAAGAGATGGAAAAAACCCCTTTCCATTCACATTGTAGTGTGATTTTACCTACTCTCAAGCCACTATGTGAACAGAAACTCAGCTACCAAAATTTGCACTTCTTCAAATTTTGCAGTGGAGTTCAGCAATTAAAAATTGTGCACAAAAATATACATTCCCCATTTGAAACTGCCTATTAGGAAAATTGCTTGCAAAAATGTACAACAGGCAAAATGCATACAAAAAAGGATTAATGTGCAGAGAAATGTTAATGAATTTTCATGCAAACTTTTTTTAAAAAAAGACCAACATATGGAACAAACTGAATTTAAGAAATCCTCAAAGTTTCAGATGAACTGAAATGAAGAGGGGGGAAATCGGAACCTCTGAGAAATCGAAATTGATAGGTTCATCCTTCCCAAGTTGTCAAGCCTACCAGGTGATTGAGTTCAATCGAATTCAAGTTAAGATCATATGAAAGATAACTATGTATAACATTATCAGTTGTTGGATTCTGAAAGTATAACTGCAAATTATCCCACTTGCAGACACAAGCATATTCCAGCCCTGCTTTGCCATGTGAACTGAGAACATGTTTGGGGATTTTAAAATTGGAACAGTGCTTTTGCTTAAACTTCTTTTCAAATTCAGTACTTGGGAATGACTATACTTTGATGACTGCAACTGGGACAGAGCAGCACCTAAGCTCTCCCCACCCCCTTTAAAATAAATAAATCAGTGCTTGGAATTCTCTTTCTCGTAAAGCTATACAGGAAGTTGGGAACCTGCCTTACACCAGGTTATTGTCTTTTTTGATCAACTTTTTTTGTCGGCTACAGACTATCGGCAGTTTCAATCCATAGTCTCAGAAAAATCTTTGACATTGCCTCCTACCTGTTCCTTTTTTAAAGGAAAAATGAGATAAATATACATCCCTATTCTGGGAAAAAAGGTGCCAATGCTAGTTCCTCCTACGTGCATTAATCACATCGAATATGGGGGAGGGAGCAAGTGAATTGAGCACAGTGTGGTCATGACCATGCAGGAGTGCATTATGTTCCTTTCGGTTGTTCCAGTGGGTATTGTTTTCATGGAGCGCAGTTGCTCCTCTAGGCTATCTGCTTTAGTGCTTTAATTGCTTGGGAATTTTGCCAAGTCTCAACCATGAGATTAAACTGGAGTTTTTATAAAAATCTTATATGTGTCTTAGTGGTTTTTGGAGATGTACTTATTTATTCTGAACACAGGAAATGGCTAGTTTATCACTTGGTTGTGGTATCTATTGTTTGATTTGCTAGCCCAAAGCACCATGGGATTTGGAACAGAGATTCTTCAGCATCAGTGGTTATATAATGCAATGTAATTGGCGCCATCCATTCAGGAATCCTTCTGTTAAGGAAACAAGAGCCATATGTGTTTGGATTTTGTAAAAGGACAGGTTGCTTTGTTTGTTTCTTAATGGAGCTCATACTACAGACCTTTCCCTAGACCTGACTTGAAACTGGTGCCACTTTGTGACAAGTGACTCTTAAGATTACAGCTCCCCTCCTGGGGTGATAGAGAAGTGGAGCAGGAATCATTATCCTTTGGGATTGCTTTTCATAGAATCATGTGGTCACATTTGTAGCACCATTAGAATGCCTGCTTGGAGTGAGTGCTCCTGCTGCCATTCTCAGTTGACTGTGTAATGCTGCACCCCAATTGCTGTTAATTGCACA